CGAAAATTAATTAGAACTTTAGCGAAAATCAAACATAGCTACTTTGAAACAGTTCTGACGAACAGTTTTCAAGTAAACAAAAATTAGAAAAATAAGTGCAATATTTATGTGATGCCTTTAGAATTTTGTACTTTTCTTTATAATTAAGTAAAGTACAATTACATTCGATCATTTATTTTAATTTTACTGATAAAAATTTAATTATAATAAAATAATCAATATAGCTAACATAGTTTTGATTAATTAGTCCGTATGACACCCCAATAAACTATGTACGTACGTACGTATGTAGTAATAGTTTGAGAAAGCTTAAGTTAATAAATTATGATATTTTAGTAGTTAAAGTGGAATATATCAAGAACGATTTGACCGTATTTATCTATTTTTTTTCTTCTGCCGTCTCATAAGTGAGTTTTCTTTATCTAACATAAGAAAAGTGTATAAATCGAAAGTTTTTAAACAAGCCCACTAACTTTAATAAGCCCTTTTTTTTTTTTTTTTACAAAACAAAAAAAAACCATACGTATCACGATTTTTTTACGTAATACGTATGTACGTACATATATATAAGAAAAATTTTACTTAGTATAGAAGGTGATCCTTCAAACGCCTCGCAAGTTATACAATTATACAAATTTGATATTTATTAATAATATTTAATTTTAATTATTATACGTATTAGCTTACCATATCTTTAACATTATTTTTATTAATTTATAGATGTTTTTTTGGAATTCGTTGCCGAAGGTCTTGAAACGGATCCTCTCTCAAAATTATACCTATTTAATAAAAAATTTCAATGAAATGTTACCATATAGAACGCAAGAGAATTTTGAGGTTCCGAATGTTGAATTGGACATGTTTGTAGATGTTAATAGTAAGGAAGGCGCATCTGAATGGATCACGGCATTCAGCCCTACTCAAAAACAACTATGCCATTAACAAGAGGCTACAAAATAAAAGGAAGTAAAGTTCTCTTTTGTGAAAAACGTTACTGCATTCATAACAATGAAGTAAAGAAGAAGCAGAGTAATGTTGAAGTGAAGCATCCACATTCATCTCGAACGCGAAATATATACTGTATTGCATCCATTCATTTAAGATTAGAATGTCGGCATCGTCCATATATACATCGTTAGAAGTTAACTTAAAATACATACATAATCACTTTATAAATTCTGCTGAATCATTGAGTTTCTGGCGAGTTGATGAAGAAGTTCATAGGAAACTAATAAAGTTATTTAATGATGGCCACTTACCCTATTCCGCATTGCATACACACGAAGACGTATTACATCTTAATGTCTCAAATGAACAGGAGATTCTTGCAGATCGTTCAAAAAATCCTGACTACAATTATGTTTATAACCTTTTCCGACAATATAGAGAAGAAATTTTTGGGGTCCCTAATGGTGAATCAATGTTCAAACATCTTAAAGATGGTTATTGAAAACTATAATATTTTAGGTTGTGGAAAGGCAGCACTACAAAAATATGATGCGCATGTCGGAACGTCCTTCATCCTTTGCATTGTGATGGATCTTATACGTCGTATACATGAGAGAATCCCCAAGCAAGTGAACTGTGCTACATGGATGCATCAGCATCC